CTTGAAATACTGAATAATTGGTTATGTCAGAATAAACTAAAATTAAATTTAAAGAAAACAAAATGTATGGTGTTTGGTAATAGAATAAATTGTAGAAAGTATTCAGATTTAGGTTTGATAATAAAAATGAACAATGTAGAAATCAACTACGTGTCTGAAATTAAATACTTGGGAGTTGTATTAGATCCGCAAGTAAATTTTTCGAAGCATATTGATTATTTATGTAAAAAGTTGGCAAAAAAATATGGCTTCTTTTGTAGAATTTCGAAATATCTATCGCAGTGGACAAAAACAATTGTGTACAATACTATAATAATGCCCCATTTTAATTATTGTTCCTCCTTATTGATTTCGTGTACAAAAGATTGTATACATAGATTACAAGTACAGCAAAATAAAGTTATGCGTATTATATTGGGATGCAATAGATATACACCGATAAAATTAATGTTGCATATGTTAAACTGGCTGACTGTTGAACAAAGTGTTAAGAGGGCTAATTTAATTTTAATTTATAAAATTCGTACAGGTCAAATGCCACAATATTTGAATAACTTTATTAGAAAACGGTCGGAAATTCACTTACACAATACCAGATTTAGATCAGATTATGATTTACCATGTGTTAAGCCCTAAGATATTGGTTCGCCCGTAACTCGAACGTCCAGATTAGTCGAAAGCGAATCTTAGTGTGATGTAACAAAGGTCACGTAAACTTTTTTATCAACATTTAAGTGGAGTTTATTTAGCTCTGAGGCAGACAGCAATTATTTCATTTTTAAATTAAGATCAATTTTCCATTCATCGCCCGAACAAGTTATTTCAGAATCATCGGCGTATGCTGTAACTGCAGTGTCATATAATGCGAAGAATAGGTCATTGCTGTTTACGTTAAACAATATAGGGCTGAGGATTACACCTTGGGGAAACTTCTATCTTTATAGTGAGAAATTCGTTTTAAACACCTTTAGGCTTCACAACAACACTCCCGCTATCACGTAAACACTGTACTACACGCACTGTTAAATCGATCAGGCTATCCCTTTCGGTAATGTCGCCATGCCCCGAATCCATTTTCATCGGCTACACGTATTGCAACACCATATTGTTTTATTAAAATTCTGTGTTATAAGTAACCGCCGAAATTGAAACATCAAATTTAAACTTCTTAATTAAATAAATAAATGTAGCGGAAAATTGAATACAAGCTATTTGAAAATGCATTTCAATGCAAGAAATTATTAATTTCCAATCCGCTTTAGTTAAGCAGTTTATATTTTGACAAATTGCTACTTTTTATAACATCGTCTTTATTTTTACCAAAATATAAATAATACCTTAACACCACTTTAAATAAACTAAAGAATAACTAATAACTAACACCAAACGAAGAACACACATGTGATTCTTACTATTAACCCTGGAATTTTGTACAATTGATACATACTACTCATACCTATCATCTGCACACTGGAACTATATGGAATTTGTCAACGCTGGCGTCAAGACTATTATAAAATTGTTATTACATTTTAGGTTCCAAATGTCAGTAGGAATCTGTGGTTAGAATATTATTGATTATAAACGACACATCTTTTATAAGTACAATAATAGCGCTTTAAAAAGCTAACGACCAATATCCTTCAGATATTTATTACAAGTACAATTAGTACAAGTCTAATGACTTCAGCAGTAAAAAGTTCCAATCACTTTATTTATAATGTGGAGTATCTATCACGTCGATTGGTTTGGAACCACGATTAAGTGTGAGCTAGACTGGCAGTAAGTAAATGAGCAGTAAAACGTTAAAAGTATAAACGGCTAGTGGAGGTTTTTTGTTAACATAAATACCCTAAATCACACTTAATCTTATCTAGCAAACAATACATGAGCAAAAAAACAAAACAAATACTACACTAATACTGGTAATTACAAGCTGATTGAAGCTTTGTTGCGCGCCGTGTTTCTTAACCTGGGTCGGAAGTGAATTTACCTATACTACCCACTACGTTTTATTGTAGTTTTAATATAAAATATTATTCTGAAATTTTCATTTCTGAATTTTTTTACCCACTACACACTACCTCAAATTAATGAGGGGAAAATTGTTGCTATTGTCACACCCCCGCCGAGAATCGAACCCGGGATCCTTGACTTTTACGCACNAAATATGGGCACAAAGTTGCTCAATGTAAACAAACTAATGAGATTTGCCCATTGTGTAATAAAAATCATAAAAGGGATATGTGCTCATCGACAACCGAAGAATGTACAAATTGTAGATACGCGCACGATGTCTTAAAAATCCCTAATATAGATTACAAGCACAATGTGTTTGATAAAAAATGCATTTGCTACCAAAGAGCACTGGAAAAAGTGAAATCCAGAATACAATATTTATAGCAACTAGGAAAAGCTAACAAAATAGTTACAACTACAAACGAATGTCTGATTTTACATATTAATGCCCAAGGAATTACATCACATATGGTAGAAATAAAACAACTAATGCAAGATAAAAACCCCTGGATTGTATGTGTTAGTGAAACCCATGTTACCCCTGAAATTGATGACAGAGAAATTAGTATACATGGTTATAACACAGTAAATTGTCACTCAGATAGCAGACATACGGGTGGAGTGATGATATATTTGAAAAACTTTTTAAAGTTTAAAGTTGTACGAAGCGATGCAGTTTCGCATAATTATTGGGTACTCTGGATAGAGATCAACTTTAGAAAAGAGACTCTTCTGGTTGCAGCGGTTTATAGATCTCCTAACGGCAATTCTAGTGAGTTTCTCAATTATTTTGAAGAAACAATGGATGATAATATGGTACATAAACAAAAAACCGTAATACTGGGAGATTTTAATATAGATTTATTAAAAAGCGGCGGTGAGTCTGGAAAACTGATAAGAATTATACAAGATTCAGGTACTAGACAAATTGTGACCAAGGAAACAAGAATTACGAATTTCTCGTCAACGTTGATCGACTTCATTATAACAAACGACTTTGATGCTACAGAAGTACCAAGAGAATTCCCGAGAATATCAGATCACGAAATTATTGGCACAAGAATTCCTTTGCAGGACGAACATAAACAAAAAAAAAGTTTTTGGAAAAGACACATTAATGAGTCAGTATTATCAGAAGTGGTTACAGAATTAACTGGAGCAAGCTGGAACTATGCATCAACTGATATAAATGTCATTTATTCAGATTTTATTACGATTATTGAAACGGCGGTTGACAAAATAATCCCTAAAAAATTATGNTTTTACCCACTACACACTACCTCAAATTAATGAGGGAAAATTTGTTGCTGTTGTCACACCCTCGCCGGGAATCGAACCCGCAACCTTTGACTTTAGGCACATTTTAAATTCAAGCGAAAAGTAAAATATTTTTTAATGTTCTGGAATAAATTAAATTGAACGAAATGCGAAACATCTACACGGAATCGGCATATAAAATTGTAAGTAGGTATCTGTTGTTATCCCGGAGAACATTTGTGGTCTTAAGGGAAGGTTAGTATAAAGTAGTAGAAGTACAAAGAGAATAATACAAGCGTACACTAATTATTTATTACTTAACATGGATTAATACAACGGTAAATCAAATCTTACGTAAGTAAGTTGCATACGCGTTACATATTTTTTAAATGTCAAACGCTTATCTTTGTTTAGTTTGTTTCGACTTTATTTTGGGACTTGTTACAGGTACTATCCTAATCCGAAATCTTCCCCAAAGAGAGAGAAAAACCGCAGATAAATAAAGGCGGGACCGTAGGACCCCTTATCATAATTTCCCAGAGTGATTCTTGGCACTTAATGTCTCAATTAGTTTTTTTCTTTAGTTTAGTTAGCATTCGTTTTGCTTACAAAATATGCCCACCTTACCAAAAGCGAAAATAGGTGACCTGATGGTCCACCTTTCCTACACCAAAATAACCCTCGTTTTACGATAGGTACAATAAGTTATGTAAAATAATGCCAACAATATTTAAAGTAAGCTTAAATGAAATAATTCTTTCTTCAATTAAAGAAAATGTCAATTTTTTTGTTGACCTTTTGCACAAACAGGGTTGCAGAAATGGCGCAATCTGGCAAAAAAAGAGCACAATAAATTCAAAAACCGCCCGATTATGAACAAAATTTTAATTTTCTTTTTTTTTTAAACTTATATTTAGCATTCGATTTATTTATTGGAGTAGCAGCCATTAACTATAATATAGTTAATCTTAACAATAATAAATTGGCTAAAGTCAACGACAATCAACGAATGAAGGAAAACATTTGAAAGTCTACCGGTTGATGTGACAAAGTAGAATTGTGATACATAAAACAATCTACACGTATATTTATAGTTATCTATATACCATTCATAGATTTCATATATTTCATTGATAAATTCAACTGTTTGTATATCGATATTTGATTACCGAATCTGACAACCCTGTACACAAATCAGATAATGATAATTTTATTTAATAGGCCATCAAGACCTATAATTGTAGTCGAAATCATTTATAGCAACATTATTTGGACTACGCAATGGGTACTAATTAGATATTATACAACAATACATATTTGTTGGCGATATCTTTGAAAATTCCAAGTCAGTAGTAATAAAAGGACAACGGCTTAAAAAATTCTTTGTATAATAATTCCTTTAATAGACATTAAAATCATTTGAAACCATTAGCCACAATATTGCTTTTATGTGGGTATTCGCATTGGCTATGATGTCCAATAGATGTTGTAGTTTATTTTTCAGTAATTTGTAATTAAGATTTGACATTTGTTTTAAGTTCAATATCAAGAAGAAGTCAGCAGTTAGTTATGAAATAAAACTTACATTATTTATGTATATAATTAGGTAAAGTGATTATAAGTTAAAATGACAACAAATTCAAAGTGGTTATAAACAGTTTCGACTTTAACCTTCATGGTATACAAGGTAATAGATACTTAAAAATGCATTGTATTTCACATACCTGAAATATCGTACCAAAAAAATTAGCAGAGGATTTACCATCTTTTTCTCGAATTGATTTAATAGGATGTAAGCCACCAAAACACCACTTAACACAAAAAAAGTATCCACAAACAAATCTCCATGAAATAGTACAAAAGCTGCCCCAGTTTTGTACTCCTAAAATATTGTCTTTAGAGTAGAATATGTTACGTGTAAATATGTTAAACTGGCTGACTGTTGAACAAAGTGTTAAGAGGGCTAATTTAATTTTAATTTATAAAATTCGGACAGGTCAAATGCCACAATATTTGAATAACTTTATTAGAAAACGGTCGGAAATTCACTTACACAATACCAGATTTAGATCAGATTATGATTTACCATGTGTTAAGCCCTAAGATATTGGTTCGCCCGTAACTCGAACGTCCAGATTAGTCGAAAGCGAATCTTAGTGTGATGTAACAAAGGTCACGTAAACTTTTTTATCAACATTTAAGTGGAGTTTATTTAGCTCTGAGGCAGACAGCAATTATTTCATTTTTAAATTAAGATCAATTTTCCATTCATCGCCCGAACAAGTTATTTCAGAATCATCGGCGTATGCTGTAACTGCAGTGTCATATAATGCGAAGAATAGGTCATTGCTGTTTACGTTAAACAATATAGGGCTGAGGATTACACCTTGGGGAAACTTCTATCTTTATAGTGAGAAATTCGTTTTAAACACCTTTAGGCTTCACAACAACACTCCCGCTATCACGTAAACACTGTACTACACGCACTGTTAAATCGATCAGGCTATCCCTTTCGGTAATGTCGCCATGCCCCGAATCCATTTTCATCGGCTACACGTATTGCAACACCATATTGTTTTATTAAAATTCTGTGTTATAAGTAACCGCCGAAATTGAAACATCAAATTTAAACTTCTTAATTAAATAAATAAATGTAGCGGAAAATTGAATACAAGCTATTTGAAAATGCATTTCAATGCAAGAAATTATTAATTTCCAATCCGCTTTAGTTAAGCAGTTTATATTTTGACAAATTGCTACTTTTTATAACATCGTCTTTATTTTTACCAAAATATAAATAATACCTTAACACCACTTTAAATAAACTAAAGAATAACTAATAACTAACACCAAACGAAGAACACACATGTGATTCTTACTATTAACCCTGGAATTTTGTACAATTGATACATACTACTCATACCTATCATCTGCACACTGGAACTATATGGAATTTGTCAACGCTGGCGTCAAGACTATTATAAAATTGTTATTACATTTTAGGTTCCAAATGTCAGTAGGAATCTGTGGTTAGAATATTATTGATTATAAACGACACATCTTTTATAAGTACAATAATAGCGCTTTAAAAAGCTAACGACCAATATCCTTCAGATATTTATTACAAGTACAATTAGTACAAGTCTAATGACTTCAGCAGTAAAAAGTTCCAATCACTTTATNGAAAATTTTAAATAATAAACATTTTTTCATATTTCTTTATGCCTAATTAGACGAATCAAAATTAATCTAGCAGCAAGCATACGTTGTAGCTTGTAGTTAGTCTACTAGCGGAACTTCGATCGAACTTTCGTTGAAAAGTACCTTTATCACTCGATAACCTCTATTTTAGAATCAAATGCCATTGACATCAACAATTTTAGCGAACATTTTACAAATTTACAAAGTTAAATTTCATCTGAACTATTAACGGTTCAACTTTTATGTAATTCTTTAACTGCATACTTGAATCAGAGAACAAGAGAGGAAAACAACAGTTACGTTTTACGTAATTTCTTTGATTAATCGACAATTTAGTTTTGGCAGATGTGGCAATTCCTATAGTAACCGAGTACAAAACATTACTTTTCTGCTATAAAAGGTTTGTTACAGATCGTATGATTACGTCCACTCTCATTTTTGCATGCTTTTTATAAAGTACTTGATGTTTTGAGAGTCATGTCGATTTCTTTTTCGAAAGGTCTCAAACTAGTGAATGATTCTTCTAGTATATATCCTAGGGTAAATGCTTAGTTATGTTTCGCTAGATTGTTGTATCGATTTGCTCGTCTTTGTTCCTTCTGGGTTTTTCGATGCCTATATGGTATATGGATCTCGTCTCTATGTTCCACTACGACTGATTTCTCGATTAAGTTGCACTTGAGATGACTCTTGAATTGTTTTGTGCTGATATGTTTACCTGTCTGCTCTATGTGCTTACTCCAGTTACTTAGTACTTGCGATCAATTCTATTTGCTGTGCAATACGATGACGTCGGAGCTTGTCTATGGAATGATGACTGGGGGATTTTAAGAAGTGGAAGAATTGTAACCATTCGCAATAGTGTCGTCTGTTTAACGTATGTGGTTGGTTGCCGTTGGGATAATTTATTAATTTTTTGGAAGTCAGTAGTATATCCAGTTTGTCGTACATGTTACATGCTTTTCATTTGTATCGAAAATACCTTAATAGTTTGAGAAATGAATTTCATTAATTATATTTTTAATCCTGGTAGCGACGTAAACAGGCGGTTCACATACAATTACTAAATTAGTGGCGACCATGACAGGAAAAAAGAAATGTGTTTTATGAAATGCTTAATTCACGTGTACGTGGGTGTTTAGTATATGGTGGTTGAACCAAGCTTTTGACGGTGTCTTTCTAAGTTTACAACAAAATGTAAAATTGATTAACAGAAAAACTCAAAATATGCTAGGTTTCTTCCTAGAGAAGTAAATGTGACTTCTCTTGCAATTTTGAAGTTTTGGATCAATCACCTTTAACAACTTATCTATCATCCATGTTCCATGTGCTTTGGACGGAAAAATTGGATGCTATGGGTATTGAAATTTCAGATTCTTAGGAAGCGGGACTCATTGAACTTCTAATAGAAAATGATGTGCAAGATAGATTGTATACCGTGGACAATTATGCTAGTGACTGATTTTTTGATAAGCAGAATGTAGGAGTTAAAAAAAAAAAAGATCGCGAGAAGAAACAGGGTTTGCAGCGAACTATAAAATTAGGTGAGAGGGCATCCTCCTTTGTGTATGATTTGTAAAATTACCCAAAAGTGATTAAACTCTACGCTAAGAAAACTGCAGAAGGAAGATCCTGTCGAGTTGTATGACGTTTAGTATGAGGAATAATTAGCTGAAGAAATCATTGAACGGATTGAAGAAAATTCTCTAGGTCAAGGTTACTATCGGCCGTATCGCTTTAAAGTAAGTTCGACAACGGAAAGAAATATGAACCATCCTTAAGCCGACGGAACGAATTTATTCGAGCGAATACTCTCAATTTCAAAAATAAACCCTTTAACAATTCATATATCATTGGAAGATTATTGAAGAAAGAAGAATTTGACGTTACTGACGAGTTCTAGTGAAGAGGCGAAACAAGCTTCCAACGGTTATGTACAAGTACGACAAGCACAAATCGACGATTGTACAATTACGAAAAGAGGTATCATGTTACTCATCAAAGAATACGTAATCGATGTGAAGAAAGCCATTACTAGAAACACGAGAGAACGGAACCCAAAATGTTGGGAATATGGAAGGACTTAAAGAAGCTGTAACAATTCAAAAACCCAGAAGGCAAATTGTACGATAGCTACAACGAATACGAATTCGACATCTAGCAACATGACAACGCAGACAGATTATTTCGGAGACCTTGCATGAAAAACTTCAAACATTATTCATCTGCGGAGAAGTTGAAAGAACTGGCATTAATTGTTGCAGTCTAACTACCATTCGGGATCCTGGGATGAAAAGTAACTAATCGAAGACCAGAGAATGTAGAAGGTATTGACCTGATAATGTGATGGAGAGAAGCCAAAAGCTCAAAACCATCGTGGGCAGATGTGAAGCATCTAAGTCGGACAACGAAAAGTTGTTGGATCCAGTGGAATTATTTTGCCTTGGACTACGGCATTTTGCAGAGAAGGTGGGAAAGAGTTCAGAAACTATTTGAAGATATATTGATGATATATTCCTTTCTTAAAACAAAACACTTTTAGTATTTGAAATGTTTAGTTTTCTTTACTAGATTTTAACATTAAATATAAAAAAAGAAACTTTACTACTGTTGGGATCCACAAGAATGTTTTCGAAATAAATGTTCTTTGTTCCTGTGCTTGGATAACACATGGTTGAAATATAGAGACAAACTATTTTTTTTTCGATATTTTTTACTTCTTTCAAGTACATTGTACTATTTTGAACGCTCAAAGGTCAATTTATGAGTTGAAGGAAGGGTCAATTTATGCTTTGGAGGAAGAGTCATTCTACAAGTTTTCATAAATCTCCTACTATCGTCATTATTTTTTTTTTTTTAAGTCATGACAAGCTCGCATGTATAACAGAAAGTTTTCAAAATGAAAGGAAATTATTGTGTCGATAGCAAAATTTGTGCTTAGAAGAATCACTTAAAAAAACGTAAGTATCAGATTAAAGGAGCAAGAGCAAGACTAAGACCGAGGCTATATTAGTAACACCAAGACCAAGACCGAAACTATGTCAGCAAGACCAGAACCAAGACTAGAAGAATTTGAATCAGACCAACATCATGATCGAATAAGTAAGACTTAGACCAATACCAAGGCTGGGACAGCTATACACTATGTCTGATAAGTACTCCGCAACAATTAAGAGAAAAGAAGGTACAAGAAAAAGATATAGAATGACTCATTTTGCATATGAATACATTGGTTTTTGTATTTTCACACTTAATTTGTTTTTACATTTTGTGATAATAGCAATAATTTAGTCAATAAAACGCTTACGAGTGCAGATTACTACTAATTATTACGTGAAATTGACCTGCTGTGAAGGTCATGAAAAGGATAAAATGATAACTGTTTTCAATCATTGGCGGCTCAGGGGTAATGGGTAGCTGTCTTTTTGCGTTACATCGTTCAGAATGCTAGGAAAATTTTGGATGGAAAAGGGAACAAGGCAAGGATGTAAGCTAAGTGTGAAAATTTTCCATATATATATATATATATATGTGACTTGGAGGAAAAATTAAGTAAGGAGAGGGAGAGTGGAACAGTAATCAGAAGATAAAATGTATGGACGGTGGGGTATGCAGATGATATTGTCCTTTCAGCAACAACTCATAATGTATTAAGAGGTATGGTAAAATTATTGAAAATTT